CCCTCGTGAGCACTCCCCCTCGTGAGTAAACTCCCTCGTGAGCACACCCCTCGTGAGCACACCCCTTTGCACACTCGAAGGAGGCTGTGTTGTGTGTAGGTCTGTGCTTCCAGACTTTAGTAGAACCCGTGCTTGGAGAGGAAATCCGTCCGTGTATGCCTTCGTCCTGTGTCTGACCCGTTTCAACGAAGTAGATTAAACATCTGAAGTATGTCAGCAGCAGAGAAAATAGATTGTATTCTGAATTATGTCTAAGATTCACCTTTTTTCTTTTCATTCCAAGATCATGATTTTTCCAGAAGGAACATGTACCAACAGGACGTGCCTAATTACCTTCAAGCCTGGTATGTAGGGTTTTTGTTTAATTTTTTTTAACGTTTTATTCATTTTTGAGAGAGAAAGACAGAGCATAAGCAGGGGAGGCGCAGAGAGACAGGGAGACACAGAATCCGAAGCAGGCTCCAGGCTCCGAGCTGTCAGCACAGAGCCCGACGCGGGGCTCGAACCCACGAACTGTGAAATCATGACCTGAGCTGAAGTCGGACGCTCGACCGACTGAGCCACCCAGGCGCCCCTGTAGTTTTCTTAATTCCACAGAGAAATTCCTCCTTGGGAAAGCAGGGGAGACCCTTGCTCCCACCGGTGCCTCCCAGATTTCCCACAAAAGTACACCCCAGGCCGGAGACGCTCCTGCGGGACGGGCTGTGAGCCTGGGGTTCCCCTGAGATTTCACAGCTGGCAGCCATGTTGAGGGTCCCTCCAGGCACCTTAAGAAGACTTCTGACCAGGAGGCCGAGGGAGAAAAGCTCACGTTAACTCCAAGACCAGCATGAGAGGCGCCAGCGCGGGGCCCGCGGCTCGGGACCTAGGACGCTGCCCTTTCCCCCGCAGGTGCGTTCATCCCAGGAGTTCCTGTCCAGCCTGTGGTTCTGCGGTACCCGAACAAACTGGTGAGCGCGTTTCCCGGGGATTCCGGTGATTTACTTGGGAATGAGAGTTTGAAGACGTTTCAGGCACCGTTTGTAGTCAATCCCGACATTCCAGAACGCTTCAGTATTCGTGCGTGAAGTCCTGTTTTCGTGGGTCGTGAGCGGAGGCCCTTCCTGTCTGTTCGGTCTGATGGTTTGATGTGAGACGGGCCCCCATGTCCCCAGGAGCCTTCACTGCCTGTTTACCAGGAAACACTAAAATTAAGAGTGCTTAAGCTCTGAAAGGCTGGAGACCGCAGGAGGGAAAGGAACTAAGTGACTTGGTATTTAATACGCCGTTGTTGTGCATCTGGCTCCGTGCAGAGGTCTTTGCTTGTGACAGAGCAGAGTAAAAGAAGGGCGTGTGGGGCTCCGAGTGCCTGGGTGATCCCGACGGACCCCCAGCTCAGGGGAGGCAGGGAGCTGGACGAAGCCTCGGCGGGTTCTGGTCACAGGCCCCCGTGCCCTCCGCTGCCACCTCTCTAAGAGCAGAACCCCTGCCAGGGGGACGTCCTTGTACCTCGACAGGCGTCGGGCTCTCGTAGCTGAGACTGGGACACAGGGACTCGTGTCCTTGGGCCCTGCCTGGGCACTGGATGCGCTGGACTGTTTCTTGACGGAAGACACAGGAGGTGGGTTTGTCACAGCGAGCTGTGTCTCTGACCCACTGTGTCTTTGTGACAGCAAAACAGAAACTCCCCAGTCGCAGCACGGTGGGGTCTGGAGTTGCTGGCACGGATGGGGGCAGAGTTGTGGGTGACGTCTGTGGGCGTGAGGGGCCTGGCCCACCTTCTGCTGGACCAGACCCCGTGCCTTCAGGTGCAGACGGACACAAAAGAGGCCCCCAGAGTGGCCAGTGAGTAAATGTCAGAAGCGGAAGCCATGGAAACCGAGAGGTGGCACAGTCTCGCGGTACGTGACCGGAGAGGTGCGTGCGTCAGCCGGCATCTGAGAGTCAGAGAATCTGTCATCGACGTGTAGAATTCTAGGTTTTCCACTTCTTAAGTTTGCTTTGTCAACTTAGTTTAAGCAAATTGCCTCTCCTGGGTTCTTCTAGAAGCATTCAGCCTGGCTGCTTTGCAGTCTCTTCTCGTTGGCCTGTGTCGTCCTCTTCAGCTGCATAATTTCCCGGAAAACCGCCACTGACCACTTTGCACCCGGTCCTGTGGGGAGGAGGGTGGGCCAGGGCCATGGGGTCAGCGGCCGGAGAAGCCCCTGAGGTTGGGATCGGGGAGGGAGGGGTGTTCAGCAGCCTGTGGGAAGGACTTCAGAAGAAAGCCCACGTGGGGGACCGGCATCAGGGTAGAAACAGGGCGCGTGTCCTCTGACGTCCGTCCCCGCCCAGTGCTGGCACAGCAGCGAAGACCGAGGGTGGGGGGCGTCCACAAGTCTCGGGGTGCTGGGCACGCACAGGCCCCGCAGTGGGGGTACAGGTGGGTGTGGGTTGGAACGCACCTCACGCGGTAGGGACCGCTCCCGAGGCCCGCACAAGGCAGGCTCCTGGGCCGTAGACCGAAGCTGCGGGACGGCTTGAACAAGGGACAGGACAAGGGATGCACCGGCCCTGGAGCCGTGGGAGGAGAGGAGTGTGTCTAGAGCGGCCCGGAGGTGGTAGCCACCCGCCTGCCCCCTTGTCCCAGAGCAGACTGGGGAAGAAGAGGGCACCAGCGTCTTGGTGAGAGACGGGCAGGTCGAGGCCAGGACGGAGGGCGGGCACACTCTGGGTCAGCTGTGACTCATCCTGCTCCTTTCTTGCCCCCCAGGACACCATCACGTGGACGTGGCAAGGACCTGGAGCGTAAGTGAGACACCGCGCGCTCTCACGCATCCTGTCCTCCCCAGAAAGCACAGTGGCCCCTCAAGTGACTGGCCTGCACTTTGGCCTGCGTTGTGCACACGTGGGAACTCCGGACGCGTGACCCGCTGCTGTTCAACAGCAGTTCAGTTCTGCCCCCTGTGCAAACCAGGTGTACAAACCTGGCCCGTTCTCACCCTCCTGGCGTCCAGGACCTAAGTTCGTTGTGGGAAGGTAACTGGGAGTGGCTCTCCTTCCCACTTGAGCCTGTCGGCTCGGTGACCACCGTCACGTCGGACACCTGCGGCTGCTAGGAAGGGAGGGGAGCTGCGGGGACGGCCCCCGTCTCAGGCCCGGGGGGGCTCCAGGACAGCAGGCCTCCCCACGACGCCAGCATTTGAGCTGCTGTTTGGCGGTGGGAAGGGGCTGGTGGAGCCAGGCCCCCAGGCCTTGCCAAGGCATTTGGAACGGAATGCTGGGAAGACTCCCTAAAGGGCAGCGTCTGCGCCGGCGAGGGGTGGGGGGGGGGAGTGATAGCGTTGCGGGGGCTGGAGTGTGGAGGGTGGGTGGCAAGAAGCAAGAGGGAAGCTGGGAAAGGCAGGAGGGGGCTCCTCTGGGCTGTGGCGGTCAGGCTTGGGGGTGGCAGTGACGGGGCAGAAGTCGGGTGTGCAAGGAGTTAAGAGGGCACTTGTCCACTGTGGAGGGTGAGCGATGGCCCGAGGACAGGACTCGGATGGCTCCCCTCGTCCAACTTCTGCAAAGAACAGGGTGGTGATGCCGGTCAGGAGCTCTAGGGCCGGGCCCGGAGAGGTCTGCGTCACTGGGGACGGCCAGGTCGGGGACAGCGTCAGGTGGGCGAGGTGTCCTGAGCTGGGGGACACACGGGGGAAACGTGGCGTGCAGGGCAAAGGAGAGCTGCAGGGTCGGTGCATTTAGTAGGGACAGGGAAGTCCCCTGTTCGGTAAAGGTAGCCCCATCCTCCTCACTGCTGCGAGGTTCGGGTCAGGCCGAGGGAGGCTCGGCGTCCGCTGAAAGAATTCACTGCACAGTGGTGCCCTCTGCAGGGGAAGGCATCCGGAGGCTCTGCTCCAGAATCGGAAGTAGTTTAACAAAATCGAGAACCCTTTAACCGATGCTGTAAATCTGTCTGTTCGTTTTAAGGTTGAAAATCCTGTGGCTCACGCTCTGTCAGTTTCACAATCGAGTGGAAATCGAGGTTTGTATAGATGCGGCGTCCTCTACAATGTCATGCCGGGGTTTATAAAGGTAGGAACCGTAGTGTTGGCGTCGAGGTCTGCGTAGATGCACTGCGATACGGTGTTACGTCGGGCTCTTACAGATACAGCGTCGCACAGGGTTATCCTCTGTGCAGATGCAGCTTAGGCAACCTTCACTGGGGTGTATAGATACAATGTTGTATTAACGTCTGTACCAACAGATGTGATACAGCGTCTGCAGGTAAAGTTGTGTGTTGACGTCTACACGGATACAGCGTTTCACAGTCTGTGACTGGGGACTCTACGGATATGAGTTGAGCATTGTCATGTCGTTGTCCGCACAGATGTAATGTCGTGTTGGTGTCGTGCAAACACAACGTGACGTTACCTGTGTGGACGTGGTGTTAGCGGATACTGTGTCATATTTGTGTCTGTGGGGATGTGTTGTACGACGTCGGGGTCTCCACAGACACAGTGTTACGTGTTGTCGCGGCACATACTATACAGTGTCACGTTGTGTCTCAGTGTTATACGCATCTGTCTTGCTTTGTAGCTCCTTAGAGGTACTTCCCATGGCTTTTCATCAATCACATTGTGTCTCTTGCATGATTTTGAATCCGTTTAGATAGGATTTTAAAAATCCACAACCGTCTTTTAACACGGTTAGCAAATTGGCGCATACGCAGTGAGTTATGTTTTGGCGTTTTTACGTGGTCTGATACTGGCGAGTTCACGTGGCACATGTCTCGTGCTGCCGTTTTCTGTTCGATGTTCGGTCGGATCGCATAACCTGCCTCCCGGCTTGCAGCCCGTTGGGTGTCTCCGAGTCACGACTCCTGTTCCCTCCACTCTGTTAAATAGTCACAATCATTCAGCCTGCGTGTTTCATCCAAGTGCATGAGGGAGGAGGGTTCCTTTTTAAGAAGGGAACCAATAGGCTAGTCCCGCACCGCAGAGTAGGGATGGCCCGTTCATGGCGTGGAGGGTGTAACGAGACAACTTCCTTCCGGTAAAAGTTGTCATGTTGCACCGAACTTACTGATGAGCCTGGCTTTCGGCCGGCCTCCGGGTTTGTTACTTCAGGAGAACAGAAGCCACTTAATCACAACAGGCTGAAGCAAAGGGTCCCCGGCCCACATCCGAGGGTGGCGGGCCTGCCCCTTAGAACTTTCTATGTGGCTCGTGTGCCGGTGGCCCGGAAGCAGCCGGTGCAGGGGCCTCGGACGACCGTGCCTCCAGTGTGAACTCCATTTCACACCTCGTTTCTGATGTTCTGAGTTCAAAAGACACAATGACTTTTTGAAATCGCTCTAAGTGTCTTTACTCACGCCATGCTTACGGGTGTCCGTGAGCATCTGTTGTGACTTCCACGGCGTCTAGTTCATGGTGCCGGGTGAATGAAGTCACGTGATGAGGACTGGTGGGATTTCAGGATGTCCTTGTACTGTCAGATGTCTGTGATAAAGAGAGAGGGCACAGTGACGCCTGCACACAGTGGGGCGGCAGCAGAGCGTGGGACTCATTTAAAGCGCCGCTCACGCGAATGCACACTTCCGTGGGACGGTTTGTCATAATCTGAAAATGCAGCGGATGTCAAATCTGGTGCTTTTTCATGAGGAAATAGTTTGTCGTGTTACCCCCAACACCAGCTGAGGCCTTTCGAGAGGAAGGCACACGAGTAACTTTTTTGCATCCGTAGAGGAAGATTCCGTGTGAGATTGTCACCCAGTGCGCCTGCAGGCAGGGGGCGCTCCTGCCCAGGAGTCGTGGGTTGTGAGTGTTCACACACGTGTCCATGCATGCGTGCACGCGCACCGTGGCCACTTTGAAGATGGTTCTAACGGAAAGTGCTTTGACAGACCTTAATCGTGTCAGACTTGCGACCGTCACCTCCGGTGGCCTGGTGATGCCTGTGGAAGTAACTCGGCCTTCTCTGTGTTCAGTTCCTTCCCGTGTACAGCCCCTCGGACGACGAGAAGAAGGACCCGGCCCTGTATGCCAGCAACGTGCGGCGCGTCATGGCAGAGTGAGTGCTGTCCCTCCCACGCCCCGGGCGCAGGCCCCCGCCGCCACCCTGGTGCCCCTGTCACTGCCCGAGGATGGCCCGGGGCTGCCCCTCAGCCGCAGCTTCCTCCTGAGCCCTGGGAGCAAACTAGCCAGTAGCCGTAGGAAAACGGTCTCTGCAGAAGCGAGCGAGGGCCCGTTGAGTGTGCACACAGGCGGGGGGCGTGCGTGGCCACTCTTTTCGCACCTCCGGTGGCCGTGGGGTCACGGTTCTGCCTCTGCTTCGTTGCTTAACTTGGTGAATTCAGACGCGTGGGTAGGAACCAGTCAGCCCGGTGCCAGGTCTGCGCCCGAGGGCGAGGGGCCGCACCGCCTGGGCGCCCACGGGGCTGTCCTGTGTATCAGCTCTCTGTTCACCCGCTGCAGTAGCCGTCAGCCCTCTTCCTCCCTCTTCCCAAGTCTAATCCTGGAAGATAAAGTGCTTCCGCAACGAGCGTGCGTGCCCTCGGGGAGTTTCTCGCTTTTGTTTCCATATCCTTCCCGGCCGTTGTGGACGGGGAGACATCAGCCTGCGCCCTCTGCACCCCCTCCCCCCGTGTCCCGTCTCCTCTACCCTCCTCTCTTCTACTCCCCGGCAGCAGGGGCTGCCTCTGTGTGGCCGCTGAGGTCCCGGGAGGGGTTCTCAGAGCTCAGGGGCTCCGCGGGGTCCCCGGCGGGAGGTCTGCGTGGCCTCGGAGGCGTTTTCACAGGCACTTTTGCCGAGCTGGTGTGGCCTGGGTGTGAAGTCAACCCTGTCCCCTCACTGTATACAGATCGCACCCCTGTGGCAACATACTCTGTGGGACTGTATAAAGCAGAATCCTAACCTGAACACAGGTAAATTCGAACTCCACGTGTCCACATGCCCCTCAGAAAGCTAGGCTGGGGACAGAGCCCAGCAGATGGCTCCGGTCCCCCTGGGTGCCCAGCCACTGGCAGCCCGTGTCCCTCCCGCTCTCAGAATCCCGGACACACAGGCAGCAGCTGGCCACCAGGATGCATGTGACTCCAGGCAGGGCGTTCGGTGACACCTTGCTTCAGCCTCTCGGTAAATGATCCCTACGGAATCAAAGCCTTGACGGGTGTGAATTCTTTTTAATTCCCATTCAAATAAATTAGCCATTAACGTTGATGAGTATCTCACAAAGTCTGCCTGTTAACGGAGGACAAGCATCACACGTCGAGTGGCAAAGGGCAGAGAACCCAGAAACAGGGATGTGGGGTGTCCCCTTCCTGGTTCCGGGCCCACCTGGAAACAGCCCGGGTCCCTGAGGGACAGTCTCAGACGCTCCGGGTGCATTCCGGCTCCTGTCCCCACACGGGGGTCCTAGCGGCTGCGGGAGAGCCGCGTCGGAACCCGCTTCCTTACCCACGATCTCTCGTGGGACCGTCTTGCCACAAGGGGCTGTGGGAACGGTGGCAGGTGCTCTCGGTTGTAGGGGAGGGGCCCCGGGTCCAACACTTGGCGACTTTTCTACCATTGAGGGTCCCCCTTAATGGGAGACGCACATTTTTCAGAACCCTGATGCCCCGCCCCTGACCTCAGGGCGCCTTCAGCCTGATGAGAGCGGCCCCTCGCCACCGTGAGACCAGCGGGACTTCTGGGTGAGACCCCCCCTCGCGGGGCGGTGTCCGCTCGGAGGCACCCGCCAGCTGCCTGGCAGGGGGACCGTGGCAATCCTGTGCTAGCCGCGAAGCCTGGGGCCCCAGGGTCCAAGTAACTGAAATTTGGGGTTCGCTCATAAGCTTCTCCGTTCAGTGCCACGTGTGGACTTGACACGTTGCCTTTGTGCGCACGTCGGCGTGCTGAGCGCCCGCCACCCCGTGGCTCCGGTTACGGGCTCGTACGTGGAGGGTGCCCGCGTGGGCTTGCGTGAGAACGCCGGTGCAGGCTCCGGGGCGAGGGCTGCAGCCAGGGCTGATGCTCTGGAACCACGCCGCCCCTGCTCAGACCCCCCCATCCTCCCCTCCTTCCTCCAAGTGGGGTCCGTCTGTCCTGCTGGGGCCCCACCAGACACCCCCATCTTGGGGGGATGCAGGAGTGGACGGGCGGGGGCACTCGGGAAACCACAAGGGTCCTGGCCCAGAGGGCGTTTTCAGTGGGTTCCTCCCCCCCGGCCTTCCCCAGCTTCACCTGCCTGAAGGCTGCCGGGTGCCGGAATCGCGAGGGACAGCTGTGCTGTGCCCGCAGGACCCAAAGGGACAGAGCGCTGGGCCGGGTGACGAGTCCCTGAGAGGTGGGCTTGAGAACTGCTCATCCACTTCCTAGAGATTTTCACTTACTCATGTGCTTTAGTCCAGTTTTTACAAGTTTTTTTTCTTGTTTACTTATTTGTGAGAGAGAGAGAGGGAGAGAGAGAGCGTGAGCAGGGGACGGGCGCAGAGAGAGGGAGACACAAAATCGCAAGCAGGCTCCAGGCTCCGAGCCGTCAGCCCAGAGCCCGACGCGGGGCTCGAACCCACCGACCGCGAGATCGTTACCTGAGCTGAAGTCGGACGCTCCATCGACTGAGCCACCGGACGCCCCGCTTTTTAAGACTTACCAATGTGGGCGTACTTCCGAGGTGGATGGTTCCTCCTGCTTCTGGGAGTTCTTTGTCAGCCCCCAGCGCCACAGACACGCCGTGGCTCTCTGGTGCGAATCTCTTCTCCGGCTGCCGTCGCGTGGTCGTCCAGCGGGTGTCCCTTCTTGGGAAACGTGTTCTGTCCTTGACAGGCACACCCACCCCGACACCACCTGTATTCATAGCAGTTTCTTCCTGTTGTCGAACTGAAACGGGTTTTCACGGGGCCACAGGAGTACCACAGAAACGTGGCTGGCACATAAACCTCTTAGACCCAGAGGCGGGGATCGCCGTCCGCAAGCGTAGGTCTTCGCGCGCCGGCCACCGTGCGCCTCACGCGGGACGTGTGGGGCGGCAGGTGCTGCTGCTGTGTGGACGGGGCAGGAGCCACAGGGGAGGGGCCTGTGAGGCGGGGCCGCTGCGACTTTAGCGCTGGTGGGGTTTGGGAGGGGTGGGGGGTCCGTTGCTGACGGCCAGGAAAGAAGTCTTGAGACCTCTTCGGCTCCAGAAGGGGATTCCGCGGAAGCGTGGGGACAGGGCCGTGGGCAGGAGGAGCGTGCTGGGGCGGGTCTGCATCTGGGGGTTCGGTTCGTACAGGACCCGGGAAGGCTGGCAGGAGGGCCCTCACGTGCCCGGGAGGATCCCGGGAGAGGAGGCCTTGCCGTTGGGAAGCTAAGGCTGTTTTCCCCCTGGGGAGGCCTTACCCCTGGGACGGTAGGGCGTTCTGGGCAGGTGCTCTCCTCTGGACCCGCCGCAGGCCTCTGTCCGTGGGCCGCAGGTCACGAGGAAGTTTGACGTTGCCTGCCACCTCTTCTGGCCTTTGTCCCCACAGCGCTGTGGGGGGTGATGTTGGGGCTGCGGGGAACAGAGCCTACAGGCTTCTGGGGATGGGGCTGTTGATAAGGTCGCCTTTTCTCGTAATTTACCAAGATGTTTGCAAACCGACTGAGACTCACGTCCCGCAGGACCGTGAACTCTATCGGGTAACCGTGTGCTTTTTCCTTCTCTCAGCTTTAGGGCAGCCGGGAGTGCATGAGGAATGTCACCCGTGTCCCACGGGGGGAGGGGAGGGGTGCCAGCTTCGCCCTCAGCCCGCCCCACGCCCTCCCCAGCGCCGGGCTCCCGGGGTCGCCCTGCACGGGCTCCTTGCTGTGCCGCTTGGGGGGGGGAGGGGGGGCTGACGGGGTGCCCTCCTCTCCCGCAGGGCCCTGGGCGTCTCGGTGACCGACTACACGTATGACGATTGCCAACTGGCCCTGGCGGAAGGCCAGCTCCGTCTCCCCGCGGACACCTGCCTTCTCGAGTTCGCCCGGCTGGTGAGGGGCCTGGGGTGAGTCTGCTTTTTTCTCACTCGAGCCGTCAGCCCGGAACGGCCCTCCCTCGAGGCTGTGGCGGGTTTGACGAAGCTCGGGTGGTTTGCTCAGCGACGGGGAGAGCTCTGAAGGGCACTGCCGAGACGCCGCTTCTAAGACGGGAAGCTTCCGGAAACTTCCGTCAGGCCCTCGCAGGGGCCCCCACCCCTGCAGTTGTTGGTGATCAGGCTGGAGATGGCAGTGGGCGCGGAGGGTCCGCGGCGGCCGTCAAGCAGATAAAAGGGCTTGTGCTCAGGGTTTCGGGGGGTTTTCCAAATACCCACTTCAGACCCCCAGTGCTCGGCAGCGGTCTCTGTGGGCTCCACCCGGAGGACCGTCGCAGCGTGGCCGGCGGCCGCCCCCACTTGCCCGAGGGTGGGTCCCCACAGCTGGCGGGGCCTCGTTCCTGTAGACGCCGAGGCAAAATTATTAGAACACTTTTTTTTTTTTAAATGAACTTGCCTCTTGTTGTAAAAGCAACTTCACTCTTTTCTTGAATTTTCTAACAGTACATTTCCTGTTCTTAGCATGCTGTGATTTCACCGAAAAATGTCCTTCCTTCTCTTTTTGTGTAGGTTGAAACCAGAAACACTGGAGAAAGATCTGGATAAATACTCCGACCGGGCCCAGACGCAGGGGGGACGCAGGGTGGGCCTCCCCGAGTTCGCCGAGTACCTGGGCGTCCCCGTCTCAGACACACTACAAGACCTGTTCTCCCTGTTTGATGAGGTGGGGCCATAGCCCTGTGAGCGGTTTCAAGGCAAAACCTCCAGCTTTTCCGTGTACATTGTTTTGTTACGATAGAAGCATCTCTTGGAGACTTAGGAAGCAGGGCGGGAACGACCCCTCCGCGCCCGTCCGACCAGCCCGCCCAGAGTTTTCTCCTGTGCTGTTAAACGCACACAGAAGTCGGACGTTTAAGTTAATGTCTGCTGATAAACATACCTGTGGTTTGGGGTTTTACGGTGGGACCGCCAAAAACCTAGTAATATCAGTGTCCCCTTCCCCAGAAACCCAGAATTCCCAAATAACGGGCCTGTTTCCCCATGATTGGCACGTGGGGTCGCCACGGACCTCCCGTCCAGCGCGAGAGGACCCCCCAGCACAGCGTCCCTCACCCCCGCCAGCCATGCGTCACAGTCGGGTCACGTGTCGTGGCTGGACCGGGGGTCCACGGCCACCAGCACCAGCTGGGCCCTGGGGGTGGAGCTGGGAGACCACATGCCGGGAGCGGTGGCTGCCACGCCCGCTCTTTCCCGGATGTTGGCGTCGAGGGATGGACCCCTGTGGCGGCCAGTCCCACGGCAGGCCATGTGCCGAGCAGCCCCTTCAGCCACAAATGTGTGTGAACAGCACAGCACGTTCCACGTGAATATCACAGCGTGTCCTCTGTGGCAACGTGCCATGTTCCGTGCGGCCTGGCCCGTGGTGGGACCAAGGAGAGGCAAGCGTGTGACTCAGGCACATCAGAGACGCCACAGGCACTCACAGGTCACGGTGACGGGCGTCCTGCTGACGCGTCACAGTGCATGGCCCCGTGTGCCGCCGTCACAAACCGGCGGGCTGGCCTGGAGGGTCCCCCTCGCGGAAAGGCCGCTCGCAGCTGTGTCCTGGCCGCGCGCTCCCGTCGTCGGAGCCCCAGCCGTGGCGGTGTTTTCATGCTGGCGCTTTGCCACGGTGTCGCTTCGGAACACAGCAGCGAGCGGCGTCCCCGGCACGTGCATCGGGTGGGGACCCGCAGACCCCCCGCCGCAGCACGCGGCTGTTAGGTCTTACTTCCCACCCCGGGCGCCCAGTGGCCCTGCGACACAGACACTCCCCATTCCACACAAAGACCCTCAGACCCAGAAGCTAAAGGGCCGGGAACACACAGGCTGAGGGGCCCGAAGTGAACTCACCTGCCCGGCCCCTGAGCTCGCTCCAGAGGCCACCCCGCCTGGACCACGGGTGTGGCACCATCCCAGGGAAGCCTGTCCCTTCCCTTCGGGGGACGGCAAGGGACCCTTGTGCCCCCACCCCTGTGCCAGAAATCTCCCCGCCCGCGAGGCCTCCACCTCCCTGTCCTGGCTCATCCCACGCCCCGTGGCGGCCTGCTCACTCAACAGCAGCCCGGCCCGCAGGCTCCCTGGGGACGTGCAACGTGGGCACACGGCAGGCCAGGCTGGGTGCCCCCCTTTCCACGTGCTCACCTAGGTTCTCAGGGCACAGATGAGAGCCTTGCTGTCTGCTGGGTTTTCTAGAAGGAGAGCCTTAGGCAGCGGGCACCGCATCGCGTGAACTTTCCGGGGGAGATTCACGTGCTGCTCTCGTAGACTTTGAGAATCAGTTGTAACGTCCTAAAAGCGTGTGTGCTGAGGTCACCTTGTAAAGGCCAGTCGGCCGTGAATGTTCTTACAAAATACTCATTTCGTGGGGCGCCTGCGTGGCTCATTTGGCTAAGCGTTCAACTTCAGCTCACGGTCCATGGGTTCGAGCCCCGCGTCAGGCTCTGTGCTGACAGCTCGGAGCCTGGACCCTGCGTTGGATTCTGTGTCTCCCTCTCTGCCCCTCCCCTGCTCACGCTCCATTCTCTCTCTCTCTCTCTCTCTCTCTCTCTCTCTCTCAATAAAACAGATAAACACACACACAAAAAAATTTTAATACGCATTTCATGTAAGCAGGTAATAGCAAATCAAGTGGAACTTTTTTTTTTTAAAGTTCATCTTGAGAGAGAGAGAGAGACAGAGAGCGGGTGCACACACGGGAGGGCCCGGGAGAGAGTGAGAGAGAGAATCCCAAGCGGGCTCTGTGCCGACTCAGGGCTCCATCTCAGGAACTGTGAGGCGTGACCTGACCTGAAGTCCGAAGTCGAACACTTAACTCACTGAGCCACCCAGATGCCCCTAACCTTTCCGTTAATATCCAGGGATTAGCGTTAACACCCCAGCACCGCCCCACGCGTGCGCGCGCGCGCACGCGGAGGGACCGGGCTGTGCCCTGAGGATGTGTCTCCTTCCCAGAGTGGAGATGACACAGTGGATCCTCGGGAGTATGTCGTCGCCCTGTCCGTCGTCTGCCGGCCGTCCCGGACTCTGGACACCATCCAGCTGGCATTCAGGGTAAGCGTGGAGTGCGTATGAGGTCGGTTTGTAGGGACGGCGAGACACGGATCACATCAGGCCTGCCGCACCCGTTTACGAGCCCTCGCGGTACGGACGGGCTTCCTCTGTGCCCAGCTGCCGTTCTCACGTAAGCTCGTGTCAGCCGTCGTTTGTGAAAACGCCCGAAACGTCCTCGATCCATTTCCTCCTGCAGTTCGTGGTCCACACTCACAAGAAGGGCACGGGGTAGGATCTTTGTGAGTTCCGGGGCGCCTGGACAGGGCTGCCCTACGCCATCCATCCGGCGCAGCCCGCACCCGGTCCGCTCTCCCACCGCGGCCTCTTCGTCAGCGCGTCGGCTCGGGCTGCAGAGCGGCTGTGTGCCCAGCGCCGAGCCTTCCACCACATCCCCGGGATTCTGAGAGTCTGAGAAACACCCATAACGGGGTCCCAGCTCACGTGCCCTCACCCGGCCGCCTCCCCAGGACACTGTCAGCTGGGATGGGGCTGGGCCGGCTTCACTCCCCAGAAACACAGTTTTGTCAGGGTCTGAGAACGGCTCCTTGTTACAGATGCACCTCCTATTCTAATTGTTTTTGAAGGTTTTTGTTTTTGAGACAGAGCATGGGCAGGGGAGGGGCAGAGAGAGAGGGAGACACAGAACCCGAAGCAGGCTCTGGGCTCTGAGCTGTCAGCACAGAGCCCAGTGCGGGGCTCAAACTCACAGACCGTGAGATCATGACCTGAGCCAAAGTCGGACGCTCCACCGACTGAGCCACCCAGATGCCCCCGGATGCAACTCCTATTAGCCAGACTCGTGAGAGCCTGATGTATAAGCCAGGCAGTGCTTATATCTCAGTGCTGGGGTCCCACTGGACGGGCAGGCTTCTCAGGCCACTGAAGGAGGGGGAGCCCGGGAGAGGGCGGCCCCCGGCTAACGGGCAGACCGACGGGCAGCGCTGGGGTGCTCACGCTGCGGTTGACAGCTGGTGCCAGCCCCCCAGGGACTCTGTCTGTCACTCGCCAGAACCTAAGCAGAAGCTGTTGGAAAAGGTCAGTGGGTCAGCCACCCCCTCAAGGTCAAACACGGTGGCGGCACATCCATTTCATTGAGCACCCACGCGTCCCACCACCCGGAGGCCCCCTGCTAGGGCAGCTGGGTGTGGCGCAGGCCTCCGTGCTCCTGGGAGTGGGAGCCGTGGGGTCAGGGCCTCTGCACAGTTGGGGGGCCGTGGGTGACACCGGCCTCTGCCTGCAGATGTACGGGTCACAGGACGGCTGCATCGATGAAGGCGCCCTGTCCAGCATCCTCAAGACCGCCTTAGGTGTGGCCGAGCTCACCGTGACCGACCTCTTCCGGGCCATCGACGAGGAGGAGACGGGGAGGATCACGTTTGGTGAGCGGCCCGGGCGTGGGGGGAGGACGGCTGCATTGTGCAGGCGTGTGCCCAGGAGGCGGGCCGCGGGAGACACCATCCGTGCTCGCCAGGGCCCCGCGGTGCCTCGGGCTACACAAGATTGTCCGAAGGAAGGCTCTTCCCCAGACCTGGCGGGGATGCGTTAGGGCACTTGGGATCTGATCCCTGCGGGGAATTAATAGGGCCAGACTTCAAGCCCAGGCTCGGAACCCCAGATCCATGCCACCCCCGAGGGCAGCGGGCGGGGTGTGCTGAGGCCGGGCGGTGGCCGCCCGTGGGGGTCCGCGATCCGGGTTCTCCGTGGAGGCGGGGAGCCAGCCCCATCAGGACCGACTGCTGCAGGGAGGGGGTGGGGGTCGGCTCATCACTTTCGGCCACACAAAGTGGGACAGCCAAGATCTTTGGGGACTCAGACCTGAAACCCACCAGCAGGCCAAGGAGGAAGGGGGAGGGGCAGTAGGACCCCCAGGAGGCAGCCCCCTGTGCACACCAGCCAGTGCGCACGTCTGGAAGTGAATGTTTCCTCGCTAAAAAAAACAGTAGACATTTGCTCAGGAAAGGTCATTGTTCGTGTCTTGTTTGGATGTGTTTTTAAATTGCGTCCAAATGTCAGACACGTGTGTTGGTTTAGCGTGAGCGTGTGTGTGTGTGTGTGTGTGTGTGTGTGTGTGTGTGCGTGTGTTTGCGTGCGTCTCCGCCTGAGGGCAGGTGGTGTTGTCCGGGCACACTGAGGCGTGGGATGACGTGCCTAGTGAGCACCTTCCAGAAAAGCCCTCCCACACCCAGGCCTAGAGCGTCTCCAAGCCGTTGGGGCACCCCGGGGGCACTCCCCACCCCAAGACTGGGTCCCAGGCCTGGTAGACGACGCGGGGGCTCAGAGCCACTCAGGTGATCGGCCGGGAGGGCGACCCTGGTGTCTCCAGCACGTAGACGGGTCACCAGTGGCGGCTGCCTCGCAGGTTATCAGGTCACGGTGTGGACACTTTGTCCTGCCTCTGAGCCGACTCCTGGGTGAACAGCGGCTCCTTTGCACGTGCCAAGCACCCGGAGTACGCCTGCGCCTCGAAGAGCACGTTCGCCTTAGATTTCCCCAAGGCGGCAAAGCCGAATGGCTCTGAGCCCCGTTCATACACAGCCCCCCCTCCCCACCATGGACTCCCCCAGCCCTCCCCCTCCCCCCCCATGGACCCAGCCCTCCCCCTCCCCCCCATGGACCCAGCCCTCCCCCTCCCCCCCCACATGGACCCAGCCCTCCCCCTCCCCCCCACATGGGCCCCACCCCTCCCCCCTCCCCCCACATGGATCCAGCCCTCCCCACATACATGGACCCAGCCCTCCCGGGAGGGTGTGAGATGTAAGCTGGTTGCCCATGCAGAACCAGGCATGGGGGCCCCAGGTTCCAGACGTCTGTCCCCCTGTAACCCAGGCGCCCGTCTTTTCAGCCGACTTCCGCAGGTTTGCAGAAGCGTTCCCCGACTTTGCTGAGGACTACCTCTACCCTGACCAGACGCGTCCTGAGAGCTGCCCGCAGACGCCCCCAGCTCCAGCCCCCAACGGCTTCTGTGCTGACTTCAGCCCTGAAAACTCGGGCGTTGGGAGGAAACCTTTCCGGAAGAAACTGGACTAGGATGAAGGTTTCTGGCAAGATGAGGCGTCTCCGTGGCCCAGTCACCACCCGCCTCCACGTGGCCGTGCGCCCGCCGGCCTCAGGCCCATCCACAAGACTCGGGCTCGCCACCCTGCTCCTCCGTGGACAGCCCCGCGTGAGGGAGGCCGCGTGGCCGGGTGCCTGTCCCCGTCGCCCGGACCATCCTGGCTCGTTTCCACCACGGTCTCTGCCACGTCCCCGTTCGTGTCCCTTCTCGGCGGCTCGCCCGGCGGACGGGCCTCCACGTGCACGCGCGACACACGCTTGAGGCCAGGGCGCGTCACGCGCGTTTGCATCCCAGCACAGACCGTCCGCCGACCTTGGGGGTCACAGGCTGGCTGGGCCGCATCTAATTTTAAACGTTTCTGTATCTGTGGGCGCTCGCGGGCGTTTTATAAACTTCGTTTAGATACTTCGGGAAGCTCACAGCGTTTTTTAAAAAAAAAACAAAACTTGTTTTCTACTTCATTTTTCCTTTCAGGGCTAGAGGATATTTATTTACGGGCCGTTTTGTGATCAGGTCCGAGGCTGTGTGGGGCTTTGACTTCAGCCTCTTGCCGGCCTCTCTCCACCAGGTCCACCCGTGTCTGGGTCCCCCACACATGTGGCCCAGAGCTCCCATCTGCCTCTTTAACCCTTTTCAGACCCCTCTTTTCTACAGACGTTACCAGCCTGGTGTCTCCGTGTAACGGGACGTGATCTGCCTCCCCGTGCACATAGCGGCCTCAACGGTGGTGCTGGGCCGGCAGGGGGGCTGCCGACGGGCCGGGCCCGCTGGGAGGCCGACCCTCGTCCCTGCTCCCGGTGCTGGGTCCCACGTGTGCAGGGGGAGGAGCTGTGGGGGAAGGGAACCGTGTGCAGACCGCAGGAGCCGGTGCCGGGGGTACAGCCCGTGCGAATGGCAGGAGGTCTGGGGAAGGCTGTCAGGCCTCTGGTGACCCCGAGGGGAGGAGCACAGCCTCCAGACGCAGGAAAGGGAAGGTTCCTGTCGCCTTTCCCCCCCCCCAACTACCCGGAGCTCAGCCTGGATCACTCCCTGGACATACAGCTGGAAACCTGTCCTTAAAGCACAATATAAGCCCCGCGGTCTCCACTCCGTTCCCTGAAGCAAAGCCTCTGGGTTTGCCTGGGGGGAAAGCTCTTCTGAATTTCTAAATAAGTTGTATTTTGTTCTTGGGCCTCTGTGTAGGAAGTGACCACCAGGCCCGAAGTACAGGAAAAAGCGTTTGTAACCTCTCCAGGAGTTCTCGGTGCGCATTTCCATCCACGGCCACGGCCATGAGTGAAGGAAAAGCCCCCCGGCCTCGGCTGTGCCCCCTCCCCGGCCACACCAGCGTGACAGTGCCAGCTGGGCGCCCGCGGTGGCCAGACACAGCCTGGCGGTTCACAGCGATCGGTTATGTGACTGTAGATGCATACAGTTTTGTTTTTAAGAGAGAAAACATACAAGTGACGGAGGAAGGAGGTGAACAGACTAAGATATCCCGAGGGGAGGCCCTTCCCCGTCTGCACATGAAGGGCTGTTTGAACGGAATGCCGTGCGCGTTTTCAGGAAAAAAGCCTCTGATAAGCAGACTTGGGATGGATGTTTGTTCCTCCTGCGCTTCCGGCCTCGCACCTGCGGGCGTTCAGAACGTGGGTATGGCTGGACCCCTTTTGTGGGAGGTGGGGACGGAGACGATGGGGGCCCCGCGGGGACCGGGGGTCCGGGGTGGGCTCCGTGAAACAGCTTTGGTCTCCACTGGAATGAATAAAGTGTAAAGTCGTACGTACCTGAGGATGCGCCTTGTCACGTGTCGTTCTTTATTGGAAACGCGACCGCAGACGGTTCTTGGGCCACGACCGAGAACCCGGCACGATGGGGTTTCTGGGGCATGTTTGGAGAGCCCCGGAATTGAAATTCTGTCGCAAACGCGCTCCTGCCGGCCGGGGGCAGCGGCTGACACCCCGGGGAACCCAAACGTGTGCGGCCCCCCGCCTGCCTGGTGGGTCGGTTCCTGGGATTTCGCAAACGCTCCGCGTGGCGCAGCCACAAAGAAGGGTCCGGCGCTCGGGCCTCTTCTCAAGGTCGTAAAGGGCTCAGAAGTGGAAGAAGAGAAACGGCCAGGTCACGACAGTCCCCAGAAGTAACCGCAACAAGACGGTTAAGTGGCCGCTCCCTCCAAGGACGGGGGAATGCGCCACGGCCCTGCTCGGTGTGACGCGCCAGAGAAGCCGGGCCCTCGGGGTGGGCTGGGAGGGTGCGCCCCGAGGTGGCACTCACCCGTGAAACGGTTTTTACTTCTTTGCCCTGTTTCTTGTCATAACTGGGTGTTGCCTCTCAAAGGGTTCAAGTCACATTCGAAGCCGGGGGCTTCCGGGTGTGGCGGGAAGAAGCAGCAGCCGCCATGGGCTGTGGGAACCGTGGCGGTGACAACGGGGTGTGCCTGCCGCGGCCTCTGGGCACTGGGCACATCCACGTCCCCGCCGGGCACGGGCTTGACGGGGACGCGCACCCTCGGGAAGTCTCCATCAGGGACCGGGGGCAGAAGAGGCGTCTCCGCGGCCCCGGCCAGGCCCCTGCTGCGCACCCCCGGAGCCGCCGGTGGGAGAGCGCCAGACCCCTGGCCTCGGCTGGTGGAGCGGCGCTCTGAACGCTCGACGGGCGCTGCCCGTCCGTCCCCTGTCCGCTCCCGCACGCGCCTCCCGTCCGGGGTGCTGCCCCTGAGCCACCGCTCCAAACAGACGCGTTACCTTCTCCCCGGGACTAACCCGCCCGCGGACCTTCGCGTCCAGTCCTGGGCAGCGTGAACGCGGACGCGGTCACACACCACCCCCCCCCCCCCCATGTTGCCTAACAGAACACAGAGCTCACGTCCACTGCCGTTCACGTTCCCACCCACAGCATGGGGAGTCCGCGGAGTGGGGGGAGTGAGTGAACGGCTCCGTCGCACAAACACACGCCGTGCACACGCACACACCGGGCCAGGAAGGCATCCGCGTGGCCGCTTACGGGGTTTCCCACCCGCACGCACGTGGCCTTGGCTCCCGCCGTGCCCGGAAGGTGAGTGTCCTTACCTAGCGGAGCATCTCCGTCCCGAGGTATCTGGAGCCTTTATGAGCCACGATCTTAGTGATGAAAGTGCCCGGAGGGCCACGGGGCTCCGCCCTCCCCGTCCTGCGGGCCGCTGAGCTCAGTGCGGGGGAGGGGGGGGTCAGCTGTGTCCCCAAATGGAGGCGCTCCATCCTTAGGAACCATGACCCCAAAGCCACGAAGAGAAGCGGAAGTGCGTGACCGGCCTCCCGGGAACGAGGGCGTCCGGCAGGTCCCCCCCTCGCCCCGGGGGACAGGCCACTTGCAGACCCGTTGGTGTCTGGGCAGCGAGCCCGTCTGCCGGGCGGACGGCACAGGGAGGGGCGGGGAGTCTGCGCAGGAAACACGTCAGCGCTGCTCCCGCTTCCCTGGCCAGAGAACCACGCGCCGCTGGAATCGGCTTGGGGGGGGGGGGGGGGGGGGGGGGGGGGGGGGGG